TTAACAAATTTATTTAAGAGTTTATCAATAAGAATGAAAAATCTTCTAGACAAATAGGTGACTGTACTTTTTACTGAATACAATCAGCAGAACCTCATTGTTACATAATCTAATCTTCCTTTGAAGTTAATGGTTTCATTAGCAATTACTCTTTCTAATATCTACCATGATCTTTTATTATCAAATACAAGCTAGATATAACCTAATTTTATCACTATGCTATTAACATAGTGCTACTAACATGTTAGTGCTACTAACATGACCTTGGTGTCAATACATTTAGGATTCATTTTTAACTCATTATATATAACAATTCTTCGTCTACCTTCTCATTAAATAGGTTAGGTGTTTTTTGTTCTATTTTAACATTTTTAATAGTGATAGAATAGTTTACAGTTTCTTATAAATGTAAAGGTAACTTTCAACTGTGCTTCCCAGCATGCCAGTATAAGTAAATTTTGTGCAAAATTACTTCCAAACTAAAACTTGAGGTTGATTGTTCTTTTTATTAAAGTATGCTAATGTGAAAAAATACATAATTAGCATAAAACAGAACCCAAACCCTTCTAAAAACAAATTTTACTTTTTAAATAGACAAAATAAAACAATTATATACATAAGAATTTTTTAAGTAGATAAAATTCAGTAAGTTATACTTCACTCATTTTATCTTCAACCAAGATAGAATAAAATAAAGACTTATACATTATTTAAATGAACGCTTAAGTAAACAAGAGGATTTTCCCTACTTTTTGTTTTAAAGCTTCAAGAAGAACAAAGAATCTAATGAGATATTTAAGTTTGTTTTCTACAAAGGAATTATAAGTTTCTTACTTTTGTGGAGAGGGCAAGATCTTTGTGTTTTATTTACTTATATATACCTGTCACCTAGAACAGTGCCTGGCACCTAGTAGATGATGAGATTTACAATAAATATTTTTCAATAAGTGAATACTTTACTTTAAAAAAAAAAAAGAGAGATTTAAGGTAGGATGATCACTTTAAAAACAAAAATAATCTACCTATCACTTTCCAGAATTACTGCCCAAGTGGTGTGTATTTTAAGGTCTTAGAACTAACCATTATCTACATAATCATAGTTTTTCTAGTTGGAACAATAGCTGAATAATGATTATTTCTTGATACCAAGAAGCAGACATTATGAATTTTTCAAAATAAAGTTTAGATATCAACATATTCTAAAACATTTCTTGGGACATGAAAGTCTCAATATAACTGTAAACGTCAAATCATAAATATACTTGGAAAATCAGGATTTGACAGTGGTTTCCCAGGTTTAGAACAGCAGTTTAGACGCAACAACACTGGAGAAACACAAAGTCTATCTGAGTAGCAACATTTGGGTATTTTACAAGGCTTCCAAACTGCCTGTAGCATCTTTTTACTGGTTTCCTGGAATTAGTTTTAGTGTTTAAAGGAACCAATTTGGAAAGGGCCTGAAGAAAACGCAAATGTAGGTTTTCTTTTCCCCAAATCTTTTCTCACATAGTGGTGAAAATCAGAATATAATATGATTTTTCCTTACATAATTTAAAATAAGAAACTCCATAACAATTCATTTACTTTGCTAAAATAAGAAAAACCCTACAATGATCAAATAATTCATTCTTTAAAAAAAAGAGTATTTATCCAGTTAATAATGAGCTGTAAACCAGACACTATATGTAACTAAAAGTTTACTACAATAAAAACACTAAAATTAAAACAAATATCTTATGATAGCCAAAAGAAACAGGTGAAATCAGCTAGAATAAATAAATCAAGGATGACTTACCAAAGTTTAATAAATCATTTTGAATTAATGATAATCAGAACATATACTTTGGCCATATAAAATATAATCTCCAAGAATATGTTCTGAAAAAATAAGGTACATCCAGATAAAAGGGGGAAACAAATATTTGGCCTATAAACAGATTTAAGGCAAACACTTTCTAAACCTCATGAGAAAAACATTAACACTTACCATTTAAAGTATTAACTTGATTTTTATTTTAATTTTCCATACCACAAGCTATTCACTTAGTCACTGAGTCTCTTAATATTTCACGTTTTTTATTTAATGATTTATCCTTATGCCTTTAAGAGACAGTACAAGCAACTGTTCTAAGAAATTTTTGGTTAAAATGCAGGATTTTAAAAATTGTTTTCTGCAAACTACTTTTTAAAAACTTCACTAAATTAACATTGCTACATTTAGGAAACAAAAAGTTTTCCAAAATCTTGTGCCAATAATAAACATAAACCTTATAAAAGATACAATGTAATTTTGCAGTAAAAAATAGTAATGTATATAGTGCAAGAGTTAAACAAAAAAATTAATATTCCACAATCTATGTGCAATTGTGCTAAGGCCTCTAACAATGTCCCTGACCTTTTACAGCCCTTTAATGTTTCTAGTATGACTTATCCATTAGAGTTACCTTCCTATTAGTACAGTGGATGTTATGCTTTTGATAATATTGCGCATCTCTTAACTTAAGAGTCGTTACAGTTCCCCACTTATTAAAAAAAAGCGCTCACAGACTTCAACATTAATACTCTTAGAGGCTGAGCAAACTTTATACTAAGTCTATATTACATGTGCAGAAATCACACAGATTGTATTTCTTCAGTGGCTTTTTTATGTCTATATGCACATATGTATTTTTTTAAACAAAGATGGGTGAAGATATAACCTGATGGCCTCTAGTTTTCAACGAGACATATATCTTAAGTTAATTACTCATGCAGATAAAAAAGGCTCATCTTTTCCTCAATAACGATGTCCATGATCCAGAAATGTTTGTTATATTTTCTGCAAATTCATGAAACATCAACACTTGATTATAAACGTAGAAGAAATATCAGAATCTCCAAAAGACTTGGTGATTCTATCCTGTTTCTTTCTGTAAAATATTTTAAGCATCTTATAAAAGATATTTAAGTTGACTGCAGAGAAAGAAAATAGGTTTAAAAAAAAGTAGCACAATAAGCATAGATGAATATTCACATATGGGTAGGAAGAATATGAAAATATTGTTGTGGTTCCAAGCAGGATTATTAAATGAGCCTTGACATCTGATAAATTTACTGTCCAGCTAAGTTTACACAGACGTAAAATCAAGGATAAAACAATTAGGACTATTAAAGAAAAAGCCACTGACTAGAGAAAGAAAATTATTACTTTAGGACCAAACATCTCTGAATGGAAGAGGTACAGTGAGGAATAACAAATGTGTTTATCAGTTATGGTCACTCTGGAACAACAAAAAGAAGGAGAGAAGAAACAAAGTAAAAAAACTAAATTTTTCTTTAGGGAGAATAAAATAAAACTGTCATTAAATCTTCTAAAAAATAAAAAGCTAAATAATGTAAGAATTCTATTTTGAATCTTTTCTATGACTAAAAACAATTGGGAACACATAATGAATAGCAAACTAGACTCAACTTGTAGAAATATAGACTCAATACATAATTAATTTCACCAACAAAATTAGATTAAAATGTGAGTATTAATGAAAAAAGAGAATGAAGATAGCCATTACAAAAGAACCAGAAGAGTAAAAATATGGTTATCAAGTTTCTCTAAGACATTGGTTAGATATTGATGGTATATCAGTTTTTTAGGAAAAAAGCAGGTAAACTTTAGAAAATGAAAGTGAAGGACAGGATCTCTTAATTAATAAAATGAACCATTAGTAATATTATGCTGTAAAATATGCAATGATAAATTATCTAGAAAATAATTTTTTCTAGAATAAAAAGGAAAAAATAGAGATCCGTGGCCCAAAACATGAATATTGCTATTAGGATTTTTGTTGTTTTATTTATCTTTTTTTTTCTTTTTGAGTTGAAGTCTCACTCTGTCGCCCAGACTGGAGTGCAGTGGCCGCTCCCGGCCACCACAGCCTCGCCTGCTGGGATCCAGCGATCCTTCCGCCTCAGCCTTCCGAGTAGCCGGAATTACAAGCATGCGCTACTACGCCCAGCTGATTTTTTGATTTATTGTAGAGATGAGGTCTCGCTGCCCAGGCGGGTCTCGAACCCACGGGCTCAGGCAATCCACTCACCTCAGCCTCCCAAAGGCGCAGGATTAAAGGCTGAGCCACCAAGCCCGGCTGAAGGATATTTTTATAGCCCAAAACTAAAAGCAGCTCATGAGAAAACAATGCATGCTTCAATGACAAAGACTACGTCTGGATAATATAATGTTCTAGCACATTTCTATATTTTAGAAAACTAGCAATAAATGGAATTATAGTGATAAATTCATCAATAGCTACCCACAAATTGGGGAAAAAAATTAAGAAAAACATTATGAAAACAATTCTAATATGTCTTGTCCTGTTTTCTAAATGTAGTTAAGAATCTATCTAAATAAAGTCATGTAAATTCTGTATAAGATGGATTCCATGAAGCCAACAAGGTCTGTTACATCATCAAAATTATCACATAGCTTTTACATAACACTTTGGCAACAAAACTAATCAAATAATTACACAGAGATATTTATAGTTAATTTGCACATACATATGCAAATATGTATGCAGTAAATGCATTATGAACTCATACATAATTTAAAGTATTTTTCTTAATTTTATATGAACTAAAATAATAAACAATATACACGTATTCAACAGAGATTTAAATTGGCAACTGCTGGACATAACTCAGTGAAATGTAAAGCAAAAAAATTAGAAAAACAAAATATGCATAAAAAGCCATTTTATACATACAAATTTTTGGCAAACATGTAAATAAGGGCACCTATCTCCAAAGCATAATACAGCAAAGTATTATACAAGAGAGTAATTACAATGCATTTATTTTTATTGTACTTCAGTGTAAGTTAAGATCTTACTATAGGGGTAGCCAGTTATAAGTAAACTCAAAATATTTTTCCACTTGTAAATTCTGTATGACTACAACCAAACTTTTAGAGCTGTGTGTTTTCTTCAAAATAGCCTGTGTCTTTGTACAGAATATGGATCACATACCCATGCCTCTGTCTGAAGGGGCTTGATATTGCTTAGTAGCACCTCTTCATAGTTTCCATAATCAGTGAATTTAACAACTGCTGTCATACCCGAAGAATGGAGGGCTTCAACTTCTGCCCGGTAAAACTGAGGAGGCAAAAAGGAATTTTAAATATGACAATCAGTATTACCTACAACAGGCAATATCTGATGGAATTGCAAGTTCCCAAAGTGTTCCAAAGTGCAATATTTTTAGAAAGAAAACTTACCTTTGGATAATTCTTTGACTGACAATGGTAAGACAATTCTAAGAGGTCATTTATTTTAAAAATAAAAATGTATGATAAAAATAAATAGCAAAAAAGGCTCATTGCTTCAGTTATCACAGGTGGCTGAAGTGAGGTTAGGATGACAGGTAAGGAGTAAGCACACTATTTTGATTCAGGATTTGTCAGATGAGAGACACTGCAATTCCAGAAACTTTTTACCAGTTTTCCCAGAATTACTTGACTCTAAGAACTGATGCATATTAACAAACTCACAAGGAACTGATTTACAAAGTAACTACAATTTTAAATTTTATCTATTAAATTAATAGGGTAGGTCATCTGATTGGAGAACTCCTCCAATACAAGTCAACCCAGTCAGGACCCAAATCACAGGTCTAACGTGTAATGGACACAAAAAATTGATTTCCTCTTCAGAAATATTTTCTTCAAGCTAGGGTAGTTGGATGCTACTGGAGTATAACACTATCTACTCTAACAGTATCTCTTAATAGGCTCATCAGAATTAGAAAATGCTAAAAGTCAACAAAAATCCGTATTTCTCACAAGAAAATGGTAGTCAACAAAAATCGTATTTTTCACAACCTTTTAAAAATGAGTTACCCTCAGTAAACCAGAAAAGAGTAGGTTTAACTAATATATTACTAACTAGTATATTTAACTAGGAGCAAGTATATTTCATATTATAAAGGTATTAAGCAAATCCATGGTGTTTCTTTCCTTCCTAGATCTGGATGCTAATAAATTTAGAGAACGGTGCTGGAATTTTCCTCAACATAGAGTTCTTGGTATCCTTTCCATCTCTCTCTTCTTCCTTTATTTCTTAGCCTCATACTTTTGTGTACTGTGGATTGCTTTGAGTATTTCTGAGCATATGGTTCAACTGTAAGCTTCTCAAATTATGCTAGTTCAGGTATGTTCAACAAACACTGAGTCATGCTATATCATATTATAGCATGACTCAACAGGTTAAGTTGGACACCCTTTAAAGAACTTACAGTTTAATCTTTGTCTCTTGGGATACTGAAAAAGTGCAGTATGCCACTTATCTGCCTCAACTCTCCAAAATTCAGCCCTGATCCAGAAGAGTTTTTAAAAAGCCTCACTTAAGACACCTTGCCCCAAATAAAGCCACAGATGGTCCCTGACTTATTAATACAATAATTGGACTTGTAATTTTTTGACTTTATGATGACACCTATACAACCATTCTGGTTTTCACTTTTAGTACAGTAGTCAATAAATTACATGATATATTCAACAGTTATAAAACGACTTGTGTTAGATGATTTTACCCAATTGTAGGCTAACATAAGCATTCTGAGTACATTTAAGGTAGGTTAGGCTAAGCTACAATGTTCAGTAGGTTGGGTGTATTAATGCATTTTTTAACTTATGACACTTTCCATTTACAATGGACTTATCATTACCATAAATTCAATAAAAATGCTAAAGTCTGTATTTATTCTACAGGTGAAAGACTTTAACTAGAAAGAATGACATGGTCTAAGACCAGGATCACAGTGGTTATCAGTACTATGACAAATTCAAGAGGGATAAGGTTTAAGGCAAGGAAACCAATTTGGATGTTGTTGGATTATTCTAGTTTAGAGGAAAACTGGAGCTAAACTAGAGAAAGAAAGAAAATTGTCCCAAATTCTCAAACACTTCCATGAAAATAAAGCTAGAAAGAAGGCAAGTATTGTGAGAATTTTTTTAAACAACAGATTATATTAACTGATTAGTTATCTCCAAAATACCATTACAATGAAATTAAGAAGATTATGGTTTCTTAACAACAGCTATAGATGGTTTCTTAAATCTCTCCCTAGTCTCTGGATAGAAAATTAGAAAACTGCATATTCCCAACAAGACATTTAAAAGTTACCTCTTTGATTAGTGGTTTTAGATATTAACAATTCCATCTCCTTCACAGGGTATTGCTTACCTTATTCCCAATGCTTAAGGGTGTGATCTATTTAGAGTCCACAATTCCTCACTACTGTAAGGACACATCTCATTTAAATCAAAGTAGCCACCTTAGCAGATCATTCAATTACTCTAAGAATACTCAAACAGCTCAAAACATTTTGGGAATTGTTATATCCTGTCTTTTAGATGCTACATGACATCATTTTGAAAATATTCAGCAGAGGTAAGAGATGAATTTAATATTAATGGTTTTTTGAAACAACTACAATTAAGATCAAAGTTTGTTTGTTTTGTTTGTTTTTTGAGTTGGAGTCTCACTCTGTTGCCCAGACTGGAGTGCAGTGGCCGCTTCTGGCCACCACAGCCTCGACCTGTTGGGCTCCGGCAATCCTTCCACCTCAGCCTTCCAAGTAGCCGGAATTGCAGGCATGTGCTACCACGCCTGGCTGATTTTTTGATTTATTGTAGAGATGAGGTCTCGCTGCCCAGGCGGGTCTTGAACTCAAGGGCTCAGGCAACCCACTCACCTCAGCTTCCCAAAGGCACGGGATTTCAGGCTGAGCCACCGAGCCCGGCTAAGATCAGTTTTATTAATAACCTTATCAGGTATTTGGAGGCATGTGGGTAACAGCACAGCAGAACTATCTGATATATCCCAAGCACCTGGCACTCAGCAGCTGCTCCATCATTATTTGTTAAATACTCAATATCCTGAGAAGGCTTTTGCTCTTCCAAAAAAAAAAAGGTAGTCTCCTCCCCTCCTTCTAGCCTTGAATAAAGACTTGACAGGGATACTGCTTCTAAATATTATCACCCCATATTCACAAAAACTTTAAAAGCTTAAGACATGGAACTGTATCAACCTGAATACCTTCTTGTTCTGTCATCAGGCAATGCCCCACACCCTGCTTGCACCTCATCATCTGAAGAACAGAAGAAGGCCTGGGTCCTGATTCCAAGTCCTACAGCATCCTTACAAAGAACCCACCCACATTCCCGTCTGAATTCCAGGCACTGATTGAGAAAAATAATTCTTCTTCCAGGAGGTGATGTCTGAGCCAAGCCCTCAGGGATGAGAAGTGCAGTTGGTAGAAGAGCATCTTGGGCAGAAAGAAGAACACATGCAAGTTCTTTCCCTTGAGGGCCCCTCTGTCCCCTGCTAGCCTGCTCTCACTATGCCGGCATTCTGCCTCTAAGCCAGGCTCTGGCCTGATATACTGCACTCCCTCTCGCCCTCATCTACTGTCTTTCCTCCCCTCTCATCCCCAAGAATTCCCTTTTTCCCTTTTAGCCAGCATATACTGTAGAACTAAAGAATGTTTAAATTACTGGTTTGATAATTACTGAATTATGTATTACAAGGTAAACTGTTAACTTCTTATTTCTTATGTTCTTCATTTTTAAAAAGGGGGCTGAATGTGCATAATTTCTTTAAATGACAATCTGCGGAATTTGATTTTGTGCCATTCAACTTATTTTCTTCCTTATGAATCAGTATAATTTTACTAGAAGGAAAAGCAAACATTTATAATTCAGCTAATGATAAGTGAAATAAAATTACACTTCACATAATCACTTTTATCATACTTATAAGCTCAATACAATAAGCTAAAACCAAACATAACCAACCAACTCTTAAGAGACAGTCTCCCTAAGCAGCCATAAAAATAGAAAATGTTCTGTTTATCCTTTTTAAATAAATTACATACGAGGGGGAGCCCCTCCCCCCCAAACAAAATTATTTTTTGGAGAATAGGCCCCTTGTAGTACAGGCATCCCCTGCTAGGTAAGTGTGCTAGGAACCTATTGGCATCAGTATACCAGCTAACATTGCTGTGAGAGATGGCTTTCAGCTTCAGTGAATTTTTTTTGGAGATTCTTTCAACCTGGTTGCCCATTACATGATGGGTGACTTATAAGTGCACCTGCCCACACGCTGAGTATTTAGCAGTTTTTGACCCCAAACAACATGACTCCCACTCCCCACCCTCCCTATTCACCCAATCTCACCCTAAGTAACTTTTTTTTGTTACCCCAGATGAAGACAGTCCTTGTCCTTCTGCTGATGTGGAAGAGGTGAAACAAAAAACAGCAGAAGCTCTAAAAGAAATCAATATTGATGAGCTCAAACACTGTGTTGAACAGTGGAAAAAGTGTTTCAATAGGTGGACTGCATCAAATGAAGAATACTTTGATGGTGACTAAAGCTCAAACATGTAATTATAAATACAAAATTTTTTATGAATAAATTCCTTTTTGGGGGTCCCCCCTCGTATCTATAAATCTGTAAAAAGACTTTAAACAGGTACAAGTATTGAATAAAATCAGAGTCCCAAAGTGATAGCTTCTATAAAGTCCCACTAGAACGCTACATTGGGTAATCCCAGAATAGGAGGTATAATATCTCAGTCCATACCTTGTTGTCTTCCCAATAAAGTGCTAAACACTCATCTCCAGGTTTCCACATTTTTGCATACTCCATAGGAATAGATGATTCTAGTACTTTCTCTGGTTTAATTGGCCCAGATCTTCTTTTGGGCCCACTGTTGTAAAATATTTTATCATCATAGGGTATAGCTGTGATGGGTCCTGCTGGCTTAATAGGTCCTATTCGTCTTCCTTTAAGAGGCATTTCTGCCTCTCCATTTGGAACACCAATGAAACTATTACTTCGAACAGGATTCTGGTATGCAGTATTTACATTAAAATGTTTCTCAGTTTTTATACCACTGAAAGCTTCATTATTTATTGTTCGTGACTTTCTGTCATAAAAATGATCAGGATTCACATTTTGGTTTTCTCTTTTTCCACGTTTTTGATTATTATAATCTAGGGATTCTTGAGGAAGTGGACTTTCTTTTGCCTCTGCATAGGATGAACCTTTCCCTGATCTGCTTTGCATAGAGTTATCTCTTTTTTTAAAAGCACCATCATTGTGCTGAGAACCTGAAGGATATGAATTATCTTTAGTTCTGTCATATCTAGAATATGGTCTATCACACTTGATTCTCTCTTCAGTCCATACTTCAGATCCTGAAGAAGTACTTGGTCTCTCAGCACCTCTGTGTCTAGGAAATCCACCACCTTCTAAAACTGACTTTGAATTTTGGAAGTCTCTTTGAAAACGAGGAGGTTTTTCATTTCTTGGCTGCCTGGTATCATTTCGAGGAAGATGTCTTGGTTGATTATTATCTTTTACTCCATTTTGTTCAGTACTTGAAATCTGTGTTGTCCCTGATGAAGCTGCTGTGGTTGTGACTTAGGTTCTGAAAGGTAAAAGTATATCACATGGACATAAAACAAAAGCTCTGCATTAATACTTATTTTTAAATGCTTTAAAATATTCCAATGTAAAATTATCAAACCACTATTTTTAAACCTTCTGTATTGTCTCACTTCACTATCTTAATCCCTCTCTGCTTCCTTAGCACCATTAATAATGATATGAATCGTGAAAAATGGTGGATAATCCAAAGCCATCTGTCTTTGTCACTGAACATTTGCATTCTTATAATATAGCTATCTACATATACTATTCTGGTAATTCATTTCCCAAAACATTAATGAAGTAGAACTGGAAACTGCTATGAAACTGGACAAGTACACCCTTGCTCAACTCCTTTCTGAATACCATTCTAATTTAGAAATATATAGCTATTACTACTAGTCACATTCTAGCTTTTGCGTAAGTGTTTCTTCTCAAATCATCCTGGATCTGGAATTGCTAAGTGTTGGTATTACAAACAGATATCCTTCTACAGAAAAAAGTTAATAATGTTCTTGATTTGTCAAAGTAATTAAGAGCAGGTACTCTTTGGAAATACAGAAAAAAGTTTCAAAAATGAAAATATAGAAAGAAATGTCAAAAACATACATAGAATCCAACTTGAAACCAAAAGCAGTAGCATAGTAAATATCTCTTTATAGATAACTTTTTTTTTAAACTCAGGGTCTCACTCTGTCACTCAGGCTGGAGTGCAGTGGCAGTGGCACCCTAACAGCTCACCACAGCCTCCTGAGCTCAGGTGATCCTTCTGCTTCAGCCTTTCGAGTAGCTGAATTACAGGTGTGCGCCACTATGCCCAGCTATTTTTCTGATTTTTTTGTAGAGAAGTGGTCTTCCTATGTTGCCCAGGCAGGTCACAAACTCCTGGCTTCAAGCGATCCTCTCACCTTGGCCTCCCAAAATGCTGAGATTGCAGGCATGAGCCACCATGTCCAGCCTATGAATAATTTTTAATGGTTGTATTTCACATAGTGCTTTTTATTCTATTTCAATTGTTACCATATCATTTACACTTTCTCTAGTATTTCACATAGCATATCTATAACATTATTACCAAACATATACATTGGTTTTTAGTGTACAAGTCTTGTTTCTTTTGTCATACACCATAATCAACATGCAGTTTATAATTATATTTCCCAGGGTCACAACATTTCCAAAGAGAAGCACTATTGACATTTTGGGTAAAACCGTTCCCTGCATTGCAAGAAAGTTAACCTCATTGGCCTCAGAACACCAAATACTAAAAGTATCCTCCCCCAGCATTTCCAGGCACTATGATAAGCAAAACTGTCTCTACACATTTCCAACCAGCCACTGGAGGCAAAAAAGTATCAAACAAACCTTTTAAAACAACAGGAATAAAGAGAGAACTTTAAAGGTTCCTGAGTAACAAAACAGGTCACAGACTAAAGATCCAGACTGAAAGTGGTGCAAAAAAATAAAAAAGAACAAGAAATTTTCTATACAACTTTTTGGTACTGTTTTTTATTTTTTTATTTTTTTGAATTAGAGTCTCACTCCGTCGCCCAGGCTGGAGTGCAGTGGCACGCTCATGGCCACTGCAGCCTCGATCTGCTGGGCTCAGGTGATCCCTCCGCCTTAGTCTTCCAAGTAGCTGAAACTACAGGCATGCACCACCACACCTGCTAATTTTTCTTGATTTACTGTAGAGATGAGGTCTCACCAAGTTGCCCAGGCCGGTCTCGAACCTGTAGGCTCAGGCAATTTGCTCGCCTTGGCCTCCCAAAGTGCTTGGAATTATAGGCGCAAGCCAAGGCACCCAGACCAACTTTTTATTTTTAACAAATAAACAAGCTTAGAAAACTGCCTGATAGTAAAGAGAAAAAATTCACTTCATTCAACTCTTACAATGTTATTTTCAGCAACTGAATTGATGATGTACATTAGACTACAGAATAAACAAAGTTACTTTGTTAAAAAGGAGCATACTTCATTTCCATTATTATGCTAAGATAACATAGTGAGAGTAAAATATATAAGGAAAATTATTTTCTAAAAATAAGAATTCCCCTTAAGAATAAATTAAATAAGCTAACAGAAGTAGAAAGTAAAAACTGTGCTTTTCGAAGAAGATAGTTTTCATATATATCTATTTCATTCCAAAATGAAATAACAGTCAAGAAACGGAGGTCCCTAAACGTTTCATTATTCTCAAATTTTCTAAAACCCAAATGCTCTTTATCTTAGGTAGTTACATAATGAAGTCATATATAAAGTAAGCATTTTGAAACTGAGCTCATCTATTAAATAAATAACAGAACACATTCAATTATTAAATTGTGGGAAAGGTGATTTTAAATAAAGGAATATCCCCAAATCAACTGAAGAGACAGCTCCTCAGTTCTCCAGACAGAACCCTGCTGCCGTCTGCTACTTTCTGATAAGGCATCACGATTCCAAACTATGTAAAATCCTAATGGACACTACAGGCCAGGTCTACAATCACTCTAGTGATCAACTGACCAAGATATTTTTTCCTGCAGTGGAAAAAAAGGCAGTAGAGTAAAATGCATGCCCCTTTGTTAATGACCCAAAGGGAGAAGATGGGAAAAAAAGGCATAAATGGAAATGGGGGATGGAATTGGAAAACATCATCATCCCAAGTGAACACAGGAACAGAAAAACAACCACAAGTTCTCATTTATAAGTGGGAGCTAAACAAGGATCTACAAAGGCAGAAAGAATGATACAATGGATACTTGAGACTCAGAAGAGGGGAGGGAGGAAGGAGCAGATGGACAGAAAGTGCACAGGTGGGAGTGGTGGATACACTTAAAGCCCAGACTTCTCCACCACTACACAATGCAATCATGTAATCAAAAACTATTTGTACCCCTAAAGTTATTGAAATAAAGAAAAAAAGAAATGGATAACATTTAATGTGAAATAGCAGAAAAAAAGAAAGAAAATTAGCAAAAAAGATATAACTATTTATTATAAGACAAAACTGGTGAAAACACCTAAAAGAGCAAGGTGATGAAAGCTCATGTGAGAAATCAAAGAATGCTGCATGAGTTTAGTTAGTATAACTTGAGGAAAAAAATGTTCCTATTATGCCAGATGATGAGTTTCAAAATGTATGTTTACAAGAGAATTGATTACAATGTTTTAAATCATCATGATTTGGAAGGGAAGAATCATTAAGAATAAATGTTAATTGTCATAAATAATTTTGAGTCTGCATATGAGGATGTGCTGAGTTAGTTAGGCATCTTAAAATATTAATACTTTTTTTTTTTTTTACAGAATATTCGTTTTCCAGTAGCAGTTGTATCTGCATTTTGTAGTTCAAAAATAGGTAGAATTTGCTTCCCAAGACTAATCCTCATTTTATTCTTAGTATTTATTAAGATCTTACTATATGTTTGACTCTATATTGATATTACCCTGAAAGGGCAATATTATCATCCTTATTTTACAAGTGAAGAAACAAAGTAATGTCAACTAAAGGTTTATGCTACAAAATGTTGAAGCCAAACCTGAGATGAAACCTAACTGAAGATAAAGTCCATCAATTTTCCACTACACCACATTGCCTACCTAGAGAACTGAAAAACAGAACATAACCAAAATGCTAGCTACAATTTTATCACCTGCATCTGGTGAGATGCAGAAATAACAAAGGCTCTTTCACAGACACAGATGCGATAAAAAATAAATCTGGATACTAGGACTGTCAGAATTCTGACCCCAAAGTAATAATCTCTTTCCATTAACAGAGAAAGACTAAAACCTGTGTTGAAAATTGGATCAGTATTTAGAAGATCATGAACAGGTACTGAGATGAAAGATAGTGCAGTGTTTAGGGTACAACCTCTGGAGAGGGACTACATAGCTTTCTGTGATAAGTATGCCACTTATTAGTTCTGTAACCTTAAGCAAAGTATTTTACAAAAATTTTTCTGAACCTCATCTTTAAGACAGGGGTAATCATAGAACATATTGAGGTGATTAAGTTAATATGCATAAAGTATGTAGAACAGTATCTGGCTTTAACAAGCACTCAGTAAATGTTAGCTGCCATTGTTATTATGACTATTAATATTAGCATTCCAATTATGCAAACAAACTTAATAGTATCAGGAAAACCAATAACTTGATAATAAGGTGCTTTCTTTTTATACATTCCCACTCCACCAACCTTCACTTTTTGTTAGGATCCTTACTTTCTTTAGTTTTTTAAATGTGTTTTGGTTCTTTTCTTGTTGAAAGTAGGGCAAGAAGAATGTTTTAATAAAAACTTTATTGTCTTATAACAAAAGTCATACAGAGAAATGTAGGTACAACAGAAAATCAAGATCATACTTTAATACTGGTTTTCATTCAAAATACACTATAAACATTCCCCAGATAAAAATCTTTTATGTACCTTTTAAACCTTTTATATATTAAAAATGCTAAGAAAATTGAAAAAGTAAAAAAAAGTCATAATTCTATTAGAAAAATGTATAGAATGAAAGTTTCATCATCTGTCTATCCAATTGTACCTCTAGATATTAGCAGTTTCTTTTCTCTATAATTCAGACTTTTTTTTAACAAAAAGTAGACTCATGCTATATCTCATGAGCTGCAATCTACTATTTACATTTATAGCATCTCATGAGTGTCTTTCCCCTTCATTTCAATGTTACATATTTTCCTTTAAGAGAGGTTACTTTAAATATTATTACATAGTAATCAAGCAGTGAGTGGGGTCCGAGTCTTACTCAGTATTGTTTTCTTCAGTACTTAGCTACTAGAGAATCAGGCAAACGGGCAGCACTTAGTAGACATTTGCAGAAAGAAAGACAGAATTACTGAAAACATTGGGAATGGAACATGCCTCCAAGCTCAAAACTGCTACCTGTTTAACACCATTACCTGGGCATAGCTAAGGGTACAAGATTGAAATAGAAAATGGACTCTGGTATTTTACCTTCTGTAAGAGAGGTCTGCATCAAAAGCATACTGCATTAG